CTCCTGCTCTCCTTCAGGCACTCAAGCAAGTACCACCCCTCAACCTGGAAACCAAAGACTGAGAGATAAAGGCGAAAAGACTGCCCTGATATATTGCCCTGTTCTCAAAACACGACTGAGCTGTTCCATAATTCATAATCACTCATCTCCTCTTTTCCTCAGCCTGGAGGGTAAAGCATCAAATAAGAGGACTTGTAGAAATGATCAAGGAGAGAGAGAGAAAGAGGTGAGAGCAGCATCCTTCCACACTGAGAGCAATGCAAAGCTCTGGTTGAATGTCAAATGCTCAGCGGTGTTCAGTGGTATATATGTATCATATAAACTGGATCTGCCCTGTGCACACATAAACACACATATGGTTGAATGTAAAGAAAGAAATGTTTTAGCTGCTGCTGTTAAAGTGTAAACACAGATGAACATTGACGCATCTCACTCGCGATTTTGTAATTTAGAACGTGTTGCACCAAATGTTAGCGATAATTTGCCACCCAAAGTTTGTCGCCTATGTCCTTTGCTCACCATTATGATTACTGAGATGGGGAAAAAAAAGCCCTTTCAGCCATGACCGGCACCATAAAATACAAGGATTCCCTCAAATGTGTACAGACAGCGAGGGTACACCACATGGTAGATGAAGGAAAAGGCCGCCGCATGGCCACGCTGAATGAGAGAAGTGTCGTTTATGATTTAAACAGACGCCTAAGATGGATTTTTCTGTAATTATTGTTCATAGATTTATTGTACATTTCTATTTTTGATACCTTCTCGCACTCTGTCTGCCCTGAGAGATATACGAGGAGGGCAGAGTGTGGACAATGTACGTCGTGTACTCAGAAACTGTGTACATACTGTAGCACTGTGCTGGACCTGGTCTGCATACTCGACATCTGTTTCTGCTCAAGTCAAACCCGGTGTTTGTGCTTGCTGTTGCCTTTTACTTGTAAAAAGCTGATAAATCTCAGATGTTAATTCTCTGTACTATGTATGAATCTTGGAGACAAAGGAGCAAGGAAGTGAATGTAAACGTTTTAACCAGAAGACTAGTTTTCTATAGAAAGAGGTACTTGAGATTTTATATTTTGGGACCTACATGAAAGATGTTTGATGTAAATATTTTGTCTATAATTGTTGATATACATGATATAAGTGTATTAATAAAGTATTTTTTTTCCCGTGGAAACTTGTTCTGACCGTATATGTACGAAAGAGAGTGAGAATGTGTGTGAAAACAAATAAATACTTTTTAGAGGTTTTACAGCACCACAGCATTCACGTCACAGGGAACACTTATGTAATGGCAGATCTGTGGCATGGCTCTCCTGCTGGTTAACCGTCTGTGGCCTCAAATGCAAAAACACAAGTAAACACACGAGTATAAACAGTATAAAAAGCTTGTGACACACCCCTCTGCATTTAGTTTCCCTGCAGAGTGCTTTACCTCCTGGAGACATGCAAAACATGTAGCTGTATAATTTACAAAAAATGCTACCACTACCTCCTGTGTTGTGCAATCACATTTTTCACCTCCAATTATAGGTTTATCTCAGTGCAGTTCAACATAAGCCCAGTGCCAGTCACAACATCTTTGTCTTCCCACCTACACATTTTTTTCCAGTGCCTTTTTCAGAGCTTAGTCATTCTGTTGCTGGTTTGTTTATATAATCTACAGTTTGAGATTACGACCAGCCACCTAAATGTCATTTATATCTTTCAAATTAGTTTCCTTGAAGCTGATTTCCATTTATTTGTTTCAGGAGGAGTTGCATGTTGTATTGATGTCATGAGTTTGCAAGCAAAACCATTATACATGTACTCACCACCCACTTTGTTATTTATACCTTGCTAGTGCCAAGTTGAGCCCTTTTTACCTTCAGAGATGCCTTAATTCTTCTTGGCATGGATTCAACAAGGTGCTGGAAATATTCCTAAGCAACTCCCATCTACGCTGATATGATAACATCACACATGATGTGAATCTCCTGTTCCAGCACATCCCAAAGGTGCTCTATTGGAATGAGATCTGGAGACTGTGGAGGCCAGTTGAGTACAGTGAACTCATTGTCATGTTCAAGCAATCAGTTTGAGATGATCTTGTCTCTGTGACATGACCTGTAATCCCCCTGATGGACTCATCAGAAGATGAGTACACTGTTGTCGTAAAGGGACGGACAATGTCAGCAATAGTACATTGGCCGTGGTGTTTAAATGATGCTCAGTTGGTGCTAAGAGCCCAAAGTGTGCCAAGTAAATAACCCCACACCATTACAACACCATCACCACACACATATATTGATATAAGGCAGGATAGATCCATGCTTTCAAGTTTTTTACACCAAAGTCTGACCAGCGAATGTTTTTCTAGTCTCATCTTATCCAATTTTGATTACCAAGTACTAATTCCAGTGTGGCCATCTGCTGGAAAGACTATCTGCTTTAAGGTTTGTGTTGTGCTTGCATAGATGCTCTTCAAGGTTCAAGGTCCAAGGTTCTTTATTTGTCACATGCATAGTTATACAAGTATAACACACAGTGAAATGTAGCCTGACACGCTCCTCGACATGTGCAAAGATAGGGGGGTTGGGGCTGTAGAGGAAGAACATTATATATATAGTATATACATTGGGTGAATGTGCAGTAGT